AACGAGTAATCTTCTAAGTGTTATACCATTTTGGAATCCTTATTAAATGCGCCAACTTTTAAGGTTACTTGCCAAACTCTCGTAGTACATTTTTTTCGAGTACAGCCAGTTAAAGTTAAGCAAAGTTTTACTTTGGAATACTTAGTTGGGAAATAAGTAGCAATTTTTCCTGAACGAGAAAAGTTGGCAGTAAGGTTGAGACACCAGTTTGAAGATGCATTATTCATCATTACATTGTAAAAATAAAATCCAAAAAAAGATAATATTTGTAGTAACAGGAGTTGACAGACTGCCGTAAGGTGTGAAATTTCTATATCTTTTTCAAAGACCTATAATTTTCAAAACACATACATAAAATTTTTTTAAATATTTTTCTGATAGCTGTTATGACTTTGCCTATCACCCGGTTTCGGCTTGACGTCGACTTCTGGGACACCCTGTATATTAAAAAAGCAACAAGATTCATATACTTATAAGAATCACTATATGCGCTGTCTTTTTGCTGTTCTTTTATGGATCGTTTCTGGAGCATCTCTACCAAGAATCCAACAGTAGTCTGCAAGCATGGAAGGATTCCACTTTCCCTGGTACCTTTTTTCCATTGTTGAAATATCCTGATGAAAACGTTCGCCGTGCTCATCACTTACGGCTCCGCAGTTGTCAGGAAAAAAGTCCAGGTGTGAGTGTAGGAAATGTATCTTAAGAGACATATTACAGCCCATCTTTTGATACGATGACAGCATATTTTTGACAAGGGCTTTATAGTTGTCAGCTTTTCTATTTCCCAAGAAATTAGTGACCACCAACTTGATATACAGTGGTGGTAATAAAATTTTTTTTCGAATCTACTAAGTAAAAAGTCACATCACCACACACGTAACAAAACTGATCTGGATTGTTTACACACTTTCGAGACATCTTGCATGAACGCTGTCAGCCAACTGAGGAAAAAATGGCTAATATAAAACAATATAATGTACACGTATGTATAGCGTAACACAATCATGCCAATTACATCATTTTTCCTTGCCGAAAATGTAGCACGTGCATTCTTGTGAATAATTACAGTATATTAACACTGTCACAGCAGGAACACATATAATTACCGTATCTCTAAAACTTGAACTAATATTGAAAAAATAAGTTTCATTCCGGTTTTAGCACATTAAAAATAGTAATATTTTGTTGATTTTATTTAGGATATTTTTTGGCTGTTGATCAGTGTAATATTTAGTCACCAAAAGACAATTTGTAACAAATCGTGTTCAGAGATAGAAACTCGAATTCATAACATCCAAAAGAATTTAAAAATAAAATATACATACAATGTAAGAGCGGAACATACACAAACTTATACCTAAACAATCAGCGTGCGTAGATACCAATTTGATATTTCATATATCCTACACATAAGAAATTACTTTGCTCGTAGTGAACATAGACCTTGGATACCACGAGCACTTGATGAATAGGCTGGGAACAACGAAAAACATTTTTGAAATCCTGTTTACAAGACTCCGCGCTCCGAGACCTACCAGACATCTAACTGCCCTCTTCTGGGCTACAAAAACATTTTGTGAATCTGTGCTCATACCCCAGAAACGCACAGCACCATAACGAAGCCTGCTACTAGCGTAGTAGAGCAAGGGCAATTGATTGCGTCTCAGCACTGGCCTCAAGTTGGCCATCAAAAATGTTGCTGAGTGTAGCTTGTAGGGCCTTGCAAGGTTTAGATACAGTCATTCCATTTGAGAAATGGCAAGCTTATGCAGAAAGCCGCCAACAACGCCTCTTGCCGAAAACCGGCCTGTTACGTTACCCCGTCGCTGTTTAAACCATATAATAAACACCACTTTAAAAGTGCATTATCAGCAACAGCAGGGCTGCCTCCCGTTACCCATAACCCCAACTCCATTACGTGACCTAAACAAAAACAAATGTCCCCCATTCATACCCTGAAAGAGGGTGCAAAAACGTACATCGGATCGTACAACCCCTGCTTGCCACGCTCTGATTGCAATATGGTCTCAATGTTCTGATTCTCCTGGGGAGCGTCGTTTCGAGAAGCAGGGTGTCACTGTCAATCAAACCCATAAGCCAATGCTGAGTTCAATATTCGCTGTGTTCATCCGTATTTATAATAAAACTTGGTATCCATTGAACGTATACCATATAATTCACTGTAAATACATACCTTTCCGTACGTGTGGTGCAAACAGTCAATGAAAAAATGAGCAGTTTTTTCTAGTTTAACGTATTTACAAAAGTCTTAGGGTTACCGAGATCTAAGCCTCGGCAAAATAAATCAAATCTACAGAAAACCTGATCTGGTCCTGCACGTGGATCACATCAAACGTGAACCCGTACGATGCGCATCAGTACCCAATCCAGGCGCGTTGGTAAATAAAACCTTTACACATCGGTTCTGAAAAAAAAAACGAAACAGAAATGGCACACGGCAATATTGGATGTGTATGTATTATTTTAATTTACGGTAGCTTCGATATGCTACCGAGGCTTCGCGAGTGCACGCAGATCGTTTTTCAAGATACGCTGTGTTTTCTTTTTTTTATTCCTGAAGCTTGGCTACGTCGAGCTCATACCTGTGTCTTTGAATATGTCAAGTGACAGAGCTGCACTTGAAATTTCTTGTCGATGAGCATATATACCCTTTATAGTCATCAGCAAAGCTTTTCTAGCTTCCACGACATTGATGGGACCTCTTTGTTTGTTAAGTTCATATATTGGACCTATAACGACTAACATCAAACGATTTAGGAACCATTCTCTCAAGGAACCATAGGAGCTTGTAGATTCTTCAGAATGAGTCCAAACCAAAGTTGAGTTCTGGGTGTCTATATATCCATTGTTCACCGCTCAATGGAGCTCTTAAACAGACCTCGTGCACTGCAGTGATCGGAGGCACCTTTCGCTTCGCTTGCGTCACTCGTTCCGAACATATCTTCAGTGTCTTTGAACATAAACTCTGAAGTCAACACTGATAACAGCCCTTTATTACTATTAAATGCCAGGATTTCGCTTTTCACATCTTTCCACAGTCAAAAAGTCATCATAAACTTAAAATTGGGACGTTATTGATTATGACGTCACAGCACTGACCAGAGTCACCCATTGCTAACTAGACAAATGATGAAAAGGATGTGTGTTTCTCTGCAAATGCTTAAGTGATCGCTGGACACATAACTTTGTAGATCAAGCTTTTGAGTGTGCTTCTGTCAAGTCATCCGTCAGTCAAGAGTGAAACCAAGATACTTAGCAGAATTTTCATATGGTACGCAAGCTCTGAAACCTCAGACGGAGCTCCCCTACCTTTTTTAGTAGAATAGATAGCCTGCGTTTCAGAAGGATTCATTTTAATCAGCCGCTGAACCGCTCATTAAATACCTCGTCCTCCACACTTACTTTGCAGCCTGACAGATTTTCAGAATACGACTGGGCCATCAGGATAGTGTCATCAGCCTAGAGATAGACTTCACAGTTGCTGGATCAAGGGACATCATGGATAAAAAGTGGAAGTATTGGCCCGAGAACCAAACCCTGAGAGACACCATCCCTGATGCACCGAGTTACCGACAAAACGTTATTAATTTTGGTTCAAAATTACATACTCTCAAGGAAGAGAAAGCCATCTTGATGCAGCTTATAGAGGATACCTTTGTACAACACCTTATCAAATACCTTCAAGACATGTACAAGCAAGATGCCAGAAGACCTTGGTTGTTCCCTCAAAAATGCCAGCCGCCTGTAGCACCATAGTACGTTCAGACTGGAACCCAAATTGTACCAGAAATCCCATTGTGGTTTGACGAGGAATTTTTTTATAGAGCTTAAAAAGAGCTGTCAACAGACAAATTTGATACTAATCCTGGAGGATGGTAGAAATTAACGTCCACGGTCTTCCACGCTCTTTGGAAGTCCTGGAGTCCTTAGCATGGCACAAATTATTGCCACTTTCGGGTAAGCAGCTCCCTTTCCAAGTGCTTTACGCACCTTGAGGTCTTTAACATGAGCTTCAACCTCTGCTGGTGTCCAAAGCGGGATCTCGGGAGACTCCGCTGATGTTCCAAGCAACTCTTCAGGAGGAATTTTCTCAAACAGACTTCTTTGCGTAGAAATCACTAAGGCAGACGCCACTACCACTGACGCCGTTGGCCCTAATATATCTACTGATGGATCTGACGATGAGTTGCTCATTGCTGAAGTCATCATTATCGTGATAGTGCGGAGAGAACTTGTCCTTCAGCGAAAAGCTCGATCTTCTCCTCCGTCCTGTGAATGTGCTGCGAAAGTCCTTCTCGCTCTTCGTGCTTGATCAACTTGGCAACTTTCCAGAGAAGAATACTTCAGTCAACCGTCTCGGCCAGAAAGTCGCTCCACTGCTCATTGCAGAACTCATGAAGAGCATTTCTCACTTGACGAACAAGATTCGTCGCCTTGGGTTGCGTTAGTAAATCACTTGGAAATGCAATGCCGTACACAATAATGGAAAGATAGAATCTTGTAACGACACTTGCTGTGAATGTGATCAGGATAAAGCGGTTACGACGCCGACGTCCGCCTGAATAGGGAAGTAACCTTAATGTGACATAAATATCTGTCAATTGAAATGAAAGAATTTGTGACTATCAGAGACTGCCAAGAAATGTGCCATAAAAAACAAGGTTATGGTGCTGCTCAATACGTGCTGAATTAAGATCTTCTGTTCGTCATCGTCTGCGTGCTGAATTGAGATGTTCCAATGAGACTATTTCCGACTGATATAAATCCACTGTTTAAAAGAATCGAATAGTGACAGTGTTAGTGTTGTGTCTAAAAATTCTTGACCAGCAAGAACGCGGTGTAATTGGGAAAGATGCTCGACCAATCTACAAAAGACACATCCAGACTGTAAGGATTCTGCAAACAATTAAACCGAGATGTGTGGACTGTGTAACTCCATAATTGTAGCGAAGTGGTTTCTGTTAAGCATATGTATCGCCATGATCATCATCACATCTTTGCTCCTCGGCTTCGCAATACTTAGAATATCGTACAAGACGCTTGAAGGTGCAGATCAGCGAGAGGTAGAGTACTGTTTGATAGACTGTCTTCTCTTATTGAGCTTTGCGGTGATAGGGCTCATAGCTTGTTTCTTCCCCAGCGATAAGACCAGAGCAAAACTGTATGCTATATATACCACTGGTACGGTCCTACTGGTGGTATATCAAATATTTGCGATCTACCATGTCATGACCGATTTCTCAGGTCTTGAAATGACGAGAGTATTTTTGACGAAGAAATTTAACGCATACGAAGAAAATAAGGTCGTCGTAGATTGGTTGCAAGACTACTGGCAGTGCTGCGGAATCGGGGGTGCCGAGTATTGGACTGCAAAGAACCAAACGATTCCTGACTCTTGTAGAGACAATGATGGGCAAGTGAATGATGTAGGATGTGTAGATCTTTTTTATGGCAGCAAGAAAACGAATCTGGCGGTATTCGTTTTTTGCTATTTCAGCAACCTTGGTTTGTCCATAGCTGGTGGTGTTTTTGGTTTCCGTCTGGCTAGAAGCCTCCGCCAGGCACTATGGCATGATAGAAGATACAGCGATGTGTCGGGTTTGTGAACAGCCACAAGCTGATTATTTTAGAAGAACCTGCTTGATATAAGCAAAAAAATAAATGTACTAGGTGTACCAACATTTTGTTTGATTTCCTCCTGTAGAATGCTTATTTATTTATTTATTTATAATATACACTATTATACCTCAGCAATTTTGCGAAATTTCGAGTTAAAATTTTAATCAGTTTCTATTTATCAGTATACCTGTTGCATTTTCTATGTCATTCAGCATATAATCTACAATCTAATTCTGTGCTGGTACAAATCACCCCGACCATCTCACCGCCCAACAATAATGGTCCAGCAGCACAAATGATTATCTTTGATCACAATGGCGGATAACATCGAAGCTACCGATACAAGAAGTAGTCTAATTACCAAACAATAATAAGAGGATGCAGATAAGGCCGGTGGATTCAAGTTGCATAGTTAACACCTCATTAGGTAATGATAATAGCGCAGTCATCTGGATCCGAAGGTGAGAATCAGTATAATAATTCGTGAGAGATAACCATCAGTACATACATATACGAGGCTTGTCCGAAAATTGTTAGTCCGGGTATTTTAAATTCGACCCTCGCCTTTGGATCTCGGAAGCTGTAGTATTTGTAGATTTGAAGACGCTTAAATGGGGGCAAAATTGCGTATTTAGGTAATTAAGAAAATGTGCTTAAGAAGTTCCTAGGTTCAAATTACGCAGGTAGTGTTATTCTCTCAATTTTTTCTTAGGTTTTATATAAATATATCAATTTCTATTTCATGGATATTAGGGAACTACTATGTATTTTTTGTCCTTTTTGAATGAAACAGTATGTTTATGTTTCAACAGTTTTACTTTTCGCTGGATATTAGTGTGACTGCCTAGGGCTGTTATCTTAGCTTTTACTATCAGTGCCCCGTATAGGAGTAATAGATTAACTTTTTTTTGTTTTCTTGTAATTTGCAGCTGTCGTTGACGTATACTGCCAATGTCTTGAATATATTTCTACCGTACATATATTTTACCAGAAAGCTATACAGTGAACGTTGTAATGTGTACGATAGAGAAGCATGAGGAGCGCGTAATTCGTGTGTCAGAAAGAGACAGAAGTAATTCGTCGACGTAGCTGCTTTTCATATGAATTATTTGTATTGATACAAGCAGCTGCGTCCTCAATTAAAGTAACTCAGTTGGTTTAATGCTGATCTCATTAACGTATGTATGATTTATTATGTTTATATATCAACACGTCTTTACCAACAACGTTGAATGTAAACCCCGGATCACCACTTGTAGGTAGTTTAGAATCTAACAATAACTAAATAATAATGACTTACAGTAGTACAGTATATTCAGATAAGAGATAGACCGGACATAAACAAGACCACGTGATCATCGAACGCTGTAACATTCGGCAGGGACGTATTAAGAGTCACGCAGTACATATTTTAGATAGTAGATGCTGCTTTGCGTAACTTTGTAGTAAATTAGCACAATTCGATGTGTATACGATTGGTGATGGATATAGGATCATGTGGGGGTGGGGTAAGGAATATATAATGATGTAAATATACATAAGGGTTTCAAAATTTTCGCTTCGATTTCCAGCTTCGGATGCCGCCTGATGTTTGGTGAAATACAGTCGAATATAATCTCAAAATGGCGTTTGAATTAGCCTAAATTAAAAATAATCGTATATCTCTTAAAATTGCTTTTAGGATATTGATTAGTATATTTTTTGATTTCTAGGTAAATATGTAACCAAATTAAAACGTTCAAAACGTAAAAAAATGTGCATGGTTGAACATTGTCAGAAAGTAGATTCTTGAATAGGTTTTGCCAAAATGGGTTCAAAAATGTCAATAATTAATTAAAAAAATACAGTAGCTTTATAATTACTTATAACTTACCGAATTTGATGAACGGCATCCTTTATTGGAAAGATGAGCTTGATGAGCTTTCATCATCGCTACTGCCTGAAGCACCAACGTCAATAATGAATGGCTCGACTTGTTCCTCTAAAATATTGTCCAGTTCCCACATTCTCTTTTCAACTTTGTCTTTCACGTGTTTAATACAGTTTTCCCATTTTTGCGCTGTTATTAATTCTAGTGCTTCTTTGAAAAGTCCTTTGAGGTCACAAAATTTAAAAGTTGTATTGTGCTTAGCTATATAATCTTTAACCTCTGCCCATATGAGCTCAATGGGATTGAGCTCGTAATGATATGGAGGTAAACGGAGCACAGTTTTATTTTGACTTGCTGCCATTTCGTCAATGGCGTATTTTTGATATTCCGCCTTGTGATCCTTGACAATTCTTAATAATTGTACTTTCAGCATTGCTTCTTCAAAGTTGATATTTTTCGAGCGGAGCCAATTTTGAACATCAACTTTCCTTGAAGCCGTTGTTGGGACCTTCTCCATTCTTCGAGAATGATAAGGCGCGTTATCCAACACAATTACTGCGTTTTCCTCTAAGTTCGGTAAAATTTTTGAAAACCACTGTTCAAACGATTCGCCATTCATTTCCTCGTGGTAATATCCAGTTTTCTTAGACTCAAAGCACCACAGACCGTCAACAACAAATCCATCCTCACTGCCAATATGGCAGATAATGAGCCTTTTCCCTTTACCTGGAAATCGAAGTACTAACTGGTGTAGATTTATTTCAATAAGCGAACCTTTTTCAAATGTTTTCATCACATTTAGCGAAAAAACATTGAGACATGAGTATCAGATTGCTATAATTGGGATTATTTAGTCATATTGAAAGAAAGAATATTGAACGTCGTATGATTACTCAGCGCTTCACAATTTAATTTAAAGTTATAAACCTTTAAAAAATGAATGATCAGGAACCTAAAATACGCGCAAATATTAACATTAACAAATTATAACTTTGTAAAGCTTAAAGTATGAATTAAAATGATTAGAAATATTAGGAACGGTACACAATATAAAACTTAGTAACTGTTTTTAAGTTTATAATATTCGACATATTTTAAGATTATATTAAAAAATTATTGAAATATCGAAAATACATAAAAACATGGCTTAAAAAAGTTCTAACAAATGAAAATGACAATAAAACATCCACGCATTTTATCGAAAGTTATAAAAGTTTTGTTACTTGTAATATGTTTTATCTGCCAACTGGAATTAATGTTTAGAACCTTGTTCCCAAGGTTTGAAAAACATCCGATTGTTGTCTATTACTCGTATTTACCTGCTGGATTTTTTAATCCGGTGGACAGTCCATCTAGAAAGCCCCTCGTGGATGAAGTTACAGAATCATTCTGCGTTTACCCACGTTTCATCAAGGTAATTGCTAAAGAAGAATTCATGCACTTTCCTCCTAATCGCATGCTTATCAGTTTCATCCAATGATTTAACAATACTTTTGCGATGTTTACTGGTCATTGGCTCAGAAAAGGTGTGATATTTCTTGTATTGTCTTAACACATTAAACACTGATGCGCGACACACCCCAGCTTTGTGAGAAACCTTCACAACAATTTGAAGTTACAGAATCATCAACCCATACTTTACTTGTAGTGTGTCCTGCGTTTACCCACGTTTCATCAAGGTAATAAATCTTCCTGTTTTGATTTCTATATTTCCCAATTTTTGTTAAATAATCCCTCCTCCACAATTTCTTCTCTATCCAGTAGTAAACTATTACGACCCCGTTTTTTCCATTTGAAATTTAAATGCTTCGGTAACGCATGGAAAGTTGATCGTTTGAAATTTGGCAACGTTGTATCTCCATTTACCTCCTGCAGTACTTTATCTATAGTAGGTATTTCATTCCTAAAGAAGAATTCATGCACTTTCCTCCTAATCGCATGCTTATCAGCTTCATCCAATGATTTAATAATACTTTTGCGATGTTTACTGGTCATTGGCTGAAAAAAGGTGTGATTTTTTTTGTATTGTCTTAACACATTAAACACTGATGCGCGACACACCCCAACTTTGTGAGAAACCTTCACAACCATTTCTTTGATGGTTGATGCCTCGTTCTCCTCGCGCTCGATCTTGCATATATTCAAAATGACCTCTTTCATTTCTGCACTCAGGTGTTTTTTTTTAGAGCGTTTCCTAGGTGGACTACAGGAGTTTACAACTTCATCGGCAGTATCTGTACTACTGGGCATTTTGCGCAAGCAGTTGATAACAATAACAATCAATAACAAGGTATAACAATAACAACGACAAACTCAACAACTTAATAAGATAACAAACGAAAACGTCCAAAGAAATATCAAATTGCAATGATGCACACGACATACGTAACACGTCTGAACCTGAATGTGACTCTGCCTTGATACGACTGCTCTGCCGCTCGGCATAGGCATTTAATTGCGAATTGACCAATGAGGGCTCCTGTTTTACGTCGAGACGGCGGCGTTAGCGTGAAAATCACCCGAACCTTTTGTTTACATCCGGTCTATCTATTATCTGAATATACTGTAGTAGTAGTAACTGCTGCTGCTAACCTCGGTGATGACAGATAGAAGAAAATAACATAACTCTTAGCACTATTTTTGAGGAAAATCTAACTGTTTCTGTTCCACAAGAAATCGTTCAGAATCAAAGTAAAAACCGAATCAAAGCATGATCCCTGATCCATAAACGGCCGACAGTTAGAACAAGTCTCAGGGTTGTTACCGGTTTGACTGCTATGCCAGTATTGTATTCAAAATGCGTATCTATGTCGATTTCCTATTGGTTGGCCTATGCTGAATTATGATAATGAAACCTAGCATAGAATGATTCCAATCAAATGACGGACGAGCCAGAAACGCAATAAATTTATTCCGTCGAATTTATTTACATGCATTTCCGAGAGAGTATCGATTGTATCGCCCGGATGATAAATAATTAAAGCGAAATTTCGGTCTATATAGAAAACGTGTAGTCGTATCCACTTTGTTCGAAATTATCCAAAAACTGCAATTAGTTATCCCTGGAATACATAAAATATAGCACGCGAAAGTAATGCCACAAGTTTATATAAAACA